ATTCTATTCTGATTTCTATTCTATGCCAATTTCTATTCTATTCTATTTTCTATTCTATTCTATTTTCTATTCTATTCTATTCTATTCTATTCTAATTTCTATTCTATTCTATTTTCTATTCTATTCTATTCTATTCTATTCTATTCTATTCTATTCTATTCTGCATCCAATATATATTCTATTCTATTCTATTCTATTCTATTCTATTCTATTCTATTCTATGCCAATTTCTATTCTATTTTATTCTATTCTAATTTCTATTCCATTCTATACCAATTTCCATTCTATTCTGATTTCTATTCTATGCCAATTTCTATTCTATTGTATTCTATTCTAATTTCTATTCTATTCTATTCCAATTTGTATTCTAATTTCTATTCTGTTCCAATCTCTCTGTTCTATTCTATTAAGAGTGAACAACAGATAGACTTCGACTTACAACCCCAATTGAGCCTCAAACTTCTGTTGCTACGCGAGACATTTGTTAAGTGAGTCTGGCTCCATTCTACCACCTTTCTTGCCATGGTTATTAAGTGAATCACTGCAGTTGTTAAGTTAGTAAAATGATTGTTAAGTGAATCTGGCTTCCCCATCAACTTTGCTCATCAGGTTGCAAAGGGGATCATGCAGCCATCATAAATATGAATCAGTTGCCCGAATGCCTTGAATTTTCATCACGCACCTCAGGGATGCTACAAGGGTCGTAAGAGTGAAAAACGGCCATAGGTTAACTTTTTTCCCCCAGTGCCATTGTAACCTTGGTCACTACATGAACCCAAGGCGGACTGATGGCGAACCTATGGCATGCGTGCCGCAGGTGGCATGCAGAGCCTTTTGCACCGGCACACGAGCTGGAGGCAAACTTACCTCACTGCACATGCGTGCGCCTCACAGCTGATTTCCGGCCAGTTTGAGGCCTTTTTCAGCTTCCCAAATGCTTGAAGAGGGCTTCTGCAGGCTTTGCAGGCTGAAAAATAGCCCCGTTTCGTCACTTCCTGTTTTTCCGAAAATACTGGAAGTGACGAAACGGGGCTATTTTTCAGCCTGCAGAAGCCTCCCTCAAGCCTCAAACTGGCCAAAAATCAGCTATGAGATGCAGTGCAGGTAAGGGGGTGGGTGGGTGGGTGGGGTTTGCGTGTGCATGCCTACAGGGCATGGGGGGGGGCGCATTGCCTTCTGGGTGCTGGCACGCGAGCGCCAGTGTGCAAGTGCGTGCACAATTTTTGGCACAGGAGCCTGAAAAGATTAGCCACCACCGCTCCAGGCCATGTTACCACAACTGCAGACTTGTGGAAGGCACCAAAATATATCTCGGCCTCCCCCTGCTTCTCCACCACCCACCCACCCCAAAAATAAGAAACAACAAAAGGACAGATGGGCACAAATTGCAATGAGAAAGCAAGAGAGGGTTTGGCTATATATAGCCCTGCAGATGTTTCAGGTGTTGGGAACGGCATTCAAAAAAGGAGGGATGGGTGCAATTAATTCTGAAAGGTGTAAATTGACAGCAATTTCTGATGAGCTCCAAGTGTCTATAATTTAGGGACGGGAGTAAAATTAAATTTGGAAAGACAAGGTGGGAATTTTGACGCAGGTCTAAAATTAAACAATCAGCTAGGATTGTTCGATATGTATGCAGCTAGTCTTACTTACAACCTTTTGAACTTGCTGGGGATAAAAAAAGGGATTTACAACCGGTCCTCACCTTTATGACCATTGCAGCATTCCCCACTGTCTGATGCTCAACATTTAAGTGCTTGGCAACCGGGATATAGGATCCCAAGGTCATTTGTGACCTTCCCAACCGGCAAGCAAAATTAATAGAAGCTGGATTCGTTTAAAGACTCTGTGGTTCACTTAACAACCGCTGTGATTTGCTAACGAGCGTGTCAAAAAAAAAAAGTCACAAAATTGGGAAGAACTTAACAACCAACAGTGGGTAATTTTGGCCACAACTAAGACTGCAGTTAGTTAGTTTACTTTATTGTCACCGCGCCTCATTCAACGAAATTAAATACCATCTTCAGTGTACATTATATACATTAAAAAAAATTAAACACACACATCCTTTGCATTCTATACAATTGAAAACCCCCGACACCGCACTATACAGTAGAATTCAATATAGTTACTGCTCTGGGATAGAAGCTGTTTTTCAACCTATTTGTCCTTGTTTTTATTATCCTGTACAGTTCAAAAAAATGCCCAGGATGAGATGGATCTTTGAGGATGTTTTGAACTTCCTTAAGGCAGCAGGAGCTATAAAGCTCTTCCAAAGAGGGGAGAGGGCAACCCATGATCTTCTGGGCAATGATGTTCACCCTCTGGAGTGCCGTCCTATCTGCCCCTGTGCAATTGGCAAACCAGACAGAGGTGCAGTAAGTTAAGATACTCTCTATGGTGCAGCGGTAGAAGGTCACCAGCAGTTTTCCATCCAGTTGTTGTTTCCTGCAATGTGAGCACCCCAGGTCAGGTCTTTTATGGTAACACCCAGAAACTTAAAACTGGCCACTTGCTCCACTTGGTCTCCATTGATAAACAAGGACTGGATGTCTGATCTGTTTCTTCTATCTTCCACTGTAAGCTCCTTGGTCTTATTGGTGTTGAGGACCAAGTTGTTGTCTCCACACCACGAAAGCAACCAGTTTAAGTCAAGAGTTGGCTGTGTTAGATTTCAGCCTCTCGGATGCAAAACCGTATCTCAAAAGTTGGGACTCCCCAAAGCTAGAGGAAACATTTTCCCCAACCGTTAGGGTCTTTTAGGTTTGAGGTGGCTTAAAAAGTATTTATGAAAATAAAAGGATAAAGTGTAGATTTTGAGAAGAAATTCAAGGTGGACCGTGCTAGTTTCAGGCAAAAAAAAAAAAAAAACCACAACAACAACAAAAACAATTCCACACAACTTTTTAAAGCAAAGAGATCCATTTATTGAACTGGAAACGTGGACCTTTAACAACTTGTTCCTGAAATCAATTTCCTTGTCTCACACACTTTACTACATACAACTCAGCCGGAGCATAAATCCATCCCTCTGTACGCACACACGTTTTAAAGTTAGGGGGGGAAAAATATTAGCTGTGTACCGTATAAAAGGAAACGATGAAAAAAGCTGGAATCCAGCCGTCCAGATGTCATAAGCAAAGCCAGAAAGTTGAGAGATTTTTTTTATGAGGAAATAATTTATTCCCTGCAGGAGCCAAACCTTCGCTTCATGGCTAGAAGTTGAAGGTCAACTCTGGATCTATTTATCTTGGAAGTTCTGATTTTTCAAGGGTTTTTTTTTCCTCTCAGTAACTACCCATCTTTCTAGTTGTTCGTAATCTCTGGAGAGAATCCACCTCTTTGATAGATCAGGTAGAACTTTTAATGCTTCGAGAAGCGCCCATGTTCTTATACTTCTATCCTCAATAGATCATCAAAGCCTCAGAGATGGTTGACATGCAAGCTGACAGATGTCACTGAAGGTCCCACCAAGTGAGGCCAGTGTTGAAATGATGGGACTTACGGTCTAACAGCCATAAATAGACTTGATCAAGTCTACTAACGCAATTCAGAAACGGAGAACCAAGAACTATCTCTGTACCACCAAATTTGTCGGTGGACTCTGTTGTCCTTCTCTCCAAAAAACCCACACCACTATTTGCCATTTCCATGAAAAGAAAATCACCCGGCATTAGCTTTCTACATTTCCTTGGCTGTCTGAAAAATCCTAACCAAACCATCCAGTTATCATTTTAATTATTCTGCTTTGTATTTCTGCTGGCACTAATTGCCTGGAGAGGTCTTGAGAAAAATTAAGACATTTTCTTGCCAGGATGGTTTAATCTAACTATGTTCCTTAAGGGCTGCTTCACTTGTTATTTTTTTTCCTAATAGGAAAGAAGTTATCAGTCTGGGGTGGAGAAGATAGGATAGCAGTAAAAGAAATATTGTGGATTTGAAATTATCTTGGGGTGAGACTCTAAGAAACATCCAGGTTGATTAGGACAGAAGCCTATCTAACAAGGTTTTCCATCAGCGTTGGTGCACCCAACCGAGACACCGATAAATAAATACTTCTTTTAAATCCTACCTTAAAAAGAAGTTCAGGACAATCTCTAAAATGGTAGTTATACAAGTCTGATGCCATAGCAAATAAGAAATATATCACAGAAAACCAACACATTCTAAAATAGTCTACAGGAATGGTTTAGATGCAAGACTGCTCGAAAGGAATAGTATAGAACAAAAGATGGCAATTTTTTAAAGTGAAAAATCATACCCTGAATTATGTCACTTTTTTTTAACAGCTTGGTGTGGACATGAAGACAATGGGAGGTGGTCATGAGAGAGATGGACCTGGAATTTTTGGATCTCCTGCCCCAGGTTTTAGAGGAGTTTGATTCCTGGGGTTTTGAACAAGGCAAAAAGGAGGTCAAACGTAGCTTCCAAATTTCAACCATGTCGTCGGAGAAAATACCGGGAGCTCAGGTCTTTGAGAAAGGACAACATCTAAAGCCCAACTGGAATATACTCTCCCGTTTGGGATGGAGAGGACATTTAAAGGTGGACCTTGTCAACTTTATGGCTACTTTTCCAGTCCAGTGGGCATCCGAGTGGCAGTTGCACATTGTCCAAGTAGGCAAGAAGATGAGTGGCAATTTAGAGGCAGGTGCTCTGCCCAAAAAAGGAGGTAGCGGAAAGTCCCCTGCAGTTTAGGGGTAGAGAAGTCCTACCTACAACCCAGTGAAGCAATACACATCTCCCCTTCCCCCAGATTCAACAGGTAAACATTGCCAATGTGAGCCGGGAGCAGCCAATTGTTGTGGTTTAAGGGGCTCCAGCTTACTCCTCCATCTGAGCTGCGAAGGAAAGATGCAAGATTCTGCAATTATGGGATGGAGTGGGGGTGGGGGGTGGAGGGGAGGGGAGCAAGTTCTGTGCAAACCATCATCTCCGTTTTCTTTTCATTTCAGGATCCTCTTGGTTGGCTGGGATGATGAGAGATCTGAACCCTGCAAGCGAGTTGTTTTCAGCCAAGACCTTCAAAGCAAAGATTGGCAAGACTTTTATTCTGCGCACAAGTTTCCCACGTTCCCACCTCTCAGTTTACCACACTCCAAAAATTCCGCCTGCCTAAATTAACTCGGCCTTCGCTGACCTTCTTGACAGCAGGTCCGTCTTCATGCCACTGACATGTCAAGGGAGCAAAGCCAAGCACCGAGGTTGGCCCTGCCAGAGAAAGCTGGAGAAGAAGAAGAAAAATCGGTACCAAATTTAACCATCCTCGGCATAAGAGAGAGTGTTGCAGTCTGAATAATATCCAGAAGACATCAGGGTAGAAAACGCCGGAGTAACAGGGTGGAAATTGTAAGGAATATTAAGGCCTTGGAGGGAAAGAAGAACCCGAAAGCACCGGCTCGGCAAAGGAAAATGGTCTTTATTGCAGGCCCCTGGAAACCTTCACTTAAACCCTCTTCTTGATGAGGCTGGAAGGGGTGGATTTGTTGTCTGATGGCTGAACCTGAGGAATAAAACAAAAAGGGTTTGGCATTTGTGGGGTTATTCCAGCGACAGCGAAATAACCTCTTTCTCCCCTGTTGTGGGATTACTGACTGTATGCTAGGCGGTTCCACTGTGTAGAAAAATTTCCACGCATCCAGAAATTTAGCAGGACTGGGAAAAGACTTATCTGCCCATCTCAGACTTGAGAAAATCCATGGAGGTTTTTAAGAAGAGACTGGATGGCCCCTTGTCTGAGATGGTATAGATTCTCCTGCTTGAGCAGGGGGCTGGACTAGAAGACCTCCAAGGTCCCTTCCAGCTTCTATTCTATTCTATTCTATTCTATTCTATTCTATTCTATTCTATTCTATTCTATTTTATTCTATTCTACTGTTCTATCCTCTTCCTCTTCTCTTCTCTATTCTTCTCTTCTCTTCTATCAATCTTCCTCTTCTCTATTCTTCTATTCTCTTCTACTATTCTATCCTCTATTCTTCAATACTACTCTATCCTCTTCCTCTTCTATTCTCTATTATTCTTTTCTACTACTCTATCTCTTCCTCTTCTTCTATTCTCTATTCTTCTCTTCTATCAATCTTCCTCTTCTCTATTCTTCTATTCTCTTCTACTACTCTATCCTTTATTCTTCAATACTACTCTATCCTCTTCCTCTTCTATTCTCTATTATTCTTTTCTACTACTCTATCTCTTCCTCTTCCTCTTCTATTCTCTATTCTTCTCTACTATTCCATCCTCTTCCTCTTCTACTCTATTCTACTCTACTCTACTCTCTTATTTCTTTGACCGGCCCCAAATAAAGAATGGCTATCCCAATGAGTTTTTGTGCAGAAATGATACCAAATACTCTATAGAAAAATAGTAGCAGAAATAAAGGCAATGCTATGCTAGATTTTTAAGCTTCGGTCTTTCCAGCCTGCTAGTTTTCAAGGTCTAGTCCGAGGATCTCTAATATATTCTGTCTTCCCACCCATCCCATTTTCTCTTCTTGCCTGAATTGATGATTGGACTTATGGGGAGAAAAAAACCTGAAGGCTGGATGGCCACCAAAGTAGGAAGCAGAAGGAGAATGTAGACTTGGAAGACTCAACCAGTTTACAACTGGTCACCGTTATGGACCAATTGGAAACCCAACTGGAATAATCGAAGCCCAGAAATTGGTTGGAGGAGATCTGAAGTCCCTTCTCCAAGATGGGAGTTGCCAATCAGTTCACCAGATCCCAATTATCAGGGTTTTTTTGTTTTTTTTGCAAGATGGATGATTCTCAAGACAACACGACTTACGGAGAAGGAAGAAAGGAAGTCAAAATGAAAAGAGACAAGAGGATGGCGGTGAGTGATTCTACTTACTTCAAGGTTTCCTCTGGCCTTTTTTAAAACATTGTGTGTTAACGCCACTGCAAAGAGAAAGAGAGTTAGTTTGGCTTGGGATATGTCTGGAATGGCATAGGATCTCCTGCTTGAGCAGGAAGTTGGGCTAGAAGACCTCCAAGGTCCCTTCCAACTCTGTTATTCATCAATTCTGTCAAAGTACTCCAGACACGTCTCTGTTGTGGTTAGCCGGCAGCTGGTGCGGACGGCTGAGGAGAGCGAGGACTCAGATGAGGGGACAGGACCATTAGGGAGTGGACTGCTGCCTTCAGAGATTGTGGGAGCTGGCAGCAGCGATGAGGAGGTTCCTGAGGAGCCTGTGCCAAGTGCGCGTGCACGCAGGATTGCTCGCAAGAAAGAGCAGCTGCAGCAGCACGGGTGACTCGGGAGTAAGGCTGCAAGGTAATGGCCCCTCCTTCAAGAAGACAAAAGCCAGCTGTGAAGCGAACGTTCTTTGCAGGAAGCAAAGACGTTTTGAAACTCAGCCTCGTGGACATTACAGTATCTTAAGTTGGTATTTGAAGACTCTTGTGTTGTGCAATATTTCTTATCTGTGATTCTTGGCAGTCTTGTACAGTTTTGGCAAAGTTTATGCTTATCAAAGTTAATTAGTTTGCAGCAGTCTTTTAAATGGGGATTCGTAAGACTCATTAAAAGGTTTCTGTTCCCTTTGGTTCGTGTTTGTCTTATTGGAAAAGGGTTTGGGTCAGAACAGTCTCAGAGTCCCAACTGGACATTATTCTCAAGAGATGTTCACACTAAGCATCCCTTAAAGGTAAAGTTTCCCCTCGCACATGCATGCTAGTCATTTCCGGCTCTAGGGGGCGGTGCTCATCTCTGTTACAAAACCAAAGAGCCAGCACTGTCCGAAGATGTCTCCGTGGCCATGTGGCCGGCAGGACTAAATGCCGAAGGCGCATGGAACGCTGTTCCCTTCCCACCAAAGGTACTTCCTATTTTTCTACTTGCACTTTGCATTTTCTGCTAGGTTGGCAGAAGCTGGGACAAAGAACAGGAGCTCACTCCGTGACGCGGCACTAAGGGATCGAACCGCCAAACCGCCAACCTTTCTAATCGACGAGCTCAGCCTCTTAGCCACTGAGCCACCTCATCCCTTATGGCTAATCAAGTTCCTACTTGCTTCCCCAACTGAGATCTAGCTTGCTACTTGGAGCTGGGGAGGAAAAAAAAGTAGGGGTCAGACCAGGGGTTGGTCTATTTCCGCCTTCTGAGGTCACTGTGAAGCTCAGAAGCAGGACAAAGAGCAGAGAAGACGGAAGACCCCCCCCCCCACAAACTCACACTGATCTATGATGACCCTCTCCATGTTTTCCTTGAGTTGGTTGGTGGAATACAAGCGCCTGGCCATACTGTAGAGCTTCTTCTCCTGTTCGGCCACTTTCCGGCGGAGCTTGTAGACCTCAGACTTCAGACTTTCATCCTGCAGAGCAAGGAGGGGAGGGTTAGCTTTCCCTCGCAGGATGGGTGTGGCCTTCCCAAAGCTTGGCTAGACGCAACTATGGCTGGAGATGACAATGCTCCTTCTCAAGAAGATGTCCTTCTTCTTGTTCGCTTGTGAGGTTCCTCAGCTTCCGCCTGGGGCAGGGGTCAGCAACCTTAGATACCCAGACAGCCACAAAGACCCTAACCGGGAGCCACCCCGCCGTTCAATTCAGGAGCCGACCGGAAGTCCGGTTCCCGCACCATAGAGTCTCCTCCTAGTGCGGTGTCCTTTTCCCTCTATCTGCCCTAACCAAAAGCCCTATCAATTGCTCAGGGAGCCATAGCAGAGGGATGAAAGAGCCACATGCGGCTCTAGAGCTGCGGGTTGCTGACTTCCTGGCCTGGGAGCTCAGCTTGGTAGGAACCCACCTGCATTAAGATGCTGCAGGAGCTGTATTCTATCCGTACACCCCTTTGGGTAGCCGAAGGAAAGGGAATCAAAGATTTCAGAGTCTCCGGTTTCGTTCAGTCAACTATTCTCCAGCGTTTGATATCCTGACTCAGTCAAGAAATTCCCTAAGCATGTTAAGAAAGCAACCTGCCACTTCTACTCCCACAAGAGTTGCTGTTCTGATCCAGCTCCAAAACACGACAAACCCCCTGTAGTTACCTAATTGTTTCCTTTATTAGGAGCGCCAGCAGCCCCAGGAAAAAGTCGCTCTCTCACACACCGCAGGCTAACGAGTCTGTCCAGCAGGGAGATGAATACTTGTCTGCCACATCTATTCATCTCTGTCCACTGCCTTTTATCCCCTAGCTAGGGTGGGGCCTCGCTAGCAGTGGTGGCTCTTCCGTCCCGAGGGCCAGACCATAGATTTCCACTGCTCTCCTCTCCTCTGCCTTCTGCGGATCCACGCGTCAGGCACTTGAATCCAACTCTCAGGTTCCGGTTTTCCCAGATGTGGCAATATGACAGCTCTAATAAATTGGACCTTTGAAGAAATGCTTGGTTTGGAATTAGAACACTGACAGTACCCGTCTCTCCAGCTTTTTGGATGCTTGAAACGCCTCCCTCCCTCCTTTCGACCCGCCGGGAGCCTAACCTGAAGTGAGTAAGCAGCAGCATGGACCACTTTCATTGGCAAGGAGACCCTCCAGAGGAGGTTCAAGAGGCGGGCAGCTTCTTCCAGGTTCTGCTGGACCGCCTTGAAGGTGGTAGACAAACTGCTCAGAGGAACCTGGAGAAGGGAAAAAACAACGGGAGGGAGAAGATGAGAAAAATTTTATCCTGGGGGGGGGGGGGTGGGGGGGGGGGGGGGGGGGGAAGGAAAGGAAAGTCAGCTTGAATTAATGGCCCAAATCCAATTTGCTACAGTTCGGGAGGGCTGATGAGCGTGAATATTGCGAGTCAGGCAAAACTAATTTATTCAGTTAAAAAGGTAGCAAAATTATGCATTATTCAAGAACGGGAAGGGGGGGGGGGGGGTCGGCTGCCGGAGGAGCAGGAATGCAGGCTAATCAATAACGGTAATTAATAATGGGTTACATTTTACTGGGCTCTGTGGGAAAACACACTCCCTTCCTCTCCTGTTTTGCATTCCATGTCTCGTCATTTGAAAGTCAAATGACTCCGGACGTCACTTTGGGCAATATAGATGTGCCTCCCTTAGCAGGATCCTATAAACGGTTCTGTTTAACAGTGAGAAAGCTATCCGGAACTGAAGCAAAATGTGTTCCTTGGCAGATGGATGACAGAGACAGAGACAGAGAGAAAGAGAGAGACAGAAAGGGATAGACAGAGAGAAAGAGACAGAGGGAGAGGGACAGACAGAGAGAGAAAGAGAGAGAGAGAGGCAGAGAGAGGCAGAGACACAGAGAGAGACACACACAGAGAGAGAGACACACACACACACACAGAGACAGAGAGAGAGAGAGAGAGAGAGAAAGAAAGAAAGAGAGACAGAGGAAGAAAGGGACAGAGACAGAGAGAAAGAGAGACAGAGAGAGAGGGAGACGGAGACAGAGACAGAGAGAGAGAGAGGGAGACAGAAAGAGAGACAGACAGAGACAGAGAGAGAAAGGGACAGACAGAGAGAGATAGACAGGGGGGAGGAGGGGGGAGAGAGAGAGAGAGAGAGAGAGAGAGAGAGAGAGAGAG